CTCACTGCCCTTTAAAACTGCATTATTCTATAATGATAATGTGGGACCTGGTCTTACACACTTGGCCCTTTCTAGTCTTCTGAATACAAATAAGCATTGGGATGCCATATGCTCCCTTCTTAGTAATGAATACAAAGTTTGTCTTTGACTAGCTTTTAGTGTGGCTGAACTGGATCTTCAAGTTAATTTTTTTCCACTTGTGTTCCTGTAATAAGTGTGTAAGAAATCAAAAAAAAAAAAAAAAAAAAAAAAAAAAAAAAAAAAAAAAAAAAAAAAGACACCCCTTACCCACAGTGCATGCAATTCACCCCTACCTCAATGCTGAGACTGAGTTTGTGGTACACAGAACTATTCTATGCTGTACATGACAATTACCTTTGGCTTTTACTATACATAGTTCTGTTATTTAAAAGCTTCTTATGTGCTGCTAAGTCATATAAGATTATTATGGGACAGAGACAATGTTAAATGGATCTCCTACTGCACCATTAAGTTAACAGTACTGAACCCTTCTGAGTTATCTTTAAAAAAAGAAAAATAGTGTATTGCCCTACAAGCTATGCCTTTGGATATCTGCTACTGATATCTTAGGTGCCTTCAGCATTAAGTGCATTCATTTGCAGCCCTCTGTCTGCAGTGTCTGTTGTCATCCTTGGCCTTCAGTCCATTGATAGTAACTTGCCAAAAGGATGCAGCTTTACAGGTAGTCACATGTGAATCAAACAAAGGACTTGGTGTGCACGGAAGGAGGTGTTGGCTGTACCTGAGAAATGTTATGTCCATAGCAGCCACAATCCTTCTCCCATGCTGCTGCTCCCACTCACCCTTTTGTTGGGGCATTAGGACTAGAGCTGTATTTTGTCCTGAACTTCGATGCACAAGTTGCAAAGGTCAGGTAGAACTTTTAAAGAAACCTGGATCTTTCCCACCATGAGGGAAACAGTTATTACACTAAGGACTATCTGGAAGTGTAGAAGACGCTGTGAAATGGTTCACAGCTCAGATGTCTGTCTTCTCTGTACAAGGTTGTGTGCTGATCACTCTTGTGTCTCACATTCACACTTGTTCTCAAAGATTCCTAATTTCAAATACAAGTTGTTCCACCTAGAATGCTGTGACTTCATGACAGTGTAGATACAGTGTGCATTCAGCAGGAACCATACTTCTGGGTTTGTTTTTTTTACCATTTATCAGGCTGGTCATATGCAGTACAGCACTCTTGTGATGTCAGGAGGCAGCAGTGACCTGGAGCTTGTGGTTGGCTATGCTTTCTTAAGTGTAAGCCATCAATACTATACCCATGAACTGTATTCAAAAATGAAATGACTTTCTTATAAACTGCCTAGCTCTGTGCTGTGCTGTAGGCCAGGTATATTAAATTCATGTTTCACTTAGGATATTTTCAGTTTGTGATGGTTAGCAAACCCCTTGGAAATTGAGGAGCATATGTAACTGCTTAGATGGTTTTGCAGAGATGGTACCACAGGACCCTGTTGTTCCTCAGCCACTTGGTGCTACCCTGATTGTTTAGGGACACTTCTTCAGGATGCTGTGTGCTTCTTACTAATGGTCATGAACCTGCTGGCTAAATCCATTTAAAGTTTTGAAAGGATTTGGCAAGAACATGGAAAAGCTGTTTTCTTTCATGAAGATGTGAAAAACTGACCGCTTATAATGTAGTCCTGGTTAGTGTGGTCCTTCCCTGAGGGCAGCTTTGTAGGTGGGGTTCTTTGATAACTACTAGTAGTTAATGCTCATGTAATGAGGCACTACATTGAAACCATCAATGAGTAAGCCATGGGGAACAAGGGATTAAATTAGAGCACCCACCAGCACCACTGCCACCCATGTCAAAAGCTTATGAGACTAATAGATGAGAGCAGACATCACCATGACTAGCTACAGATCTACAGATCTGGAAGAGAACTAAGAACCACAGACTGTCTGGCAAGAGCAGAGCTGTGCAGGTTACTAGCTGACCCATCAAGAGTAAGCCTTTTGTTTACCTACAAGTCAGTAAAAGATGAGTTACAGGGATGCATCTTTTATTTCAGGGTAAATTGTTGACAATGAAAACAGAATTCCACGTGAAGAGGGATGGGTTTGGGAGCATAGAGGTGTCAGTGTGTCTAAGGTAGAGGTGATCAAAGGACTTGAACATGTCTGAAAGCTAGCAATTTCAGCTGCGGATTTTGTCAGGGTTACTGGGTGCCTTAGCCAATTTTGCTTTAAACGGCACCATCTCCTGAGAGGGAATACATCCCAGGAATGTCAATGTTTGCATGGCTCATAGGCTCCTCCACCTTCAGGACCACAGGACATGAGCCCTGCACTCCCTGACTTCAGCCTCTGCAGTCTGTGGCTCTGGTTTTTCAGGCACTGCTTGCAGTTAATGGCATCTACATGAAGTTGCTGGGGAGAGCATGTTGAAGACACTGGTATTCTTAGATTATAAAGTCTTGATTTCAGAGACCAACAACCTCAGGCTTAGGAACCGAGTCCAGCTTTGTTCCCTGTAGATGAACAAACAGATACACAGGCTAGGCTTAGGAACCAGGTCCAGATGTGCCCTATAGATGAGCAAACAGGTGCACATAGGTCACTGTGTAAGGTCACTTTGTATGTGGCAGGAGTGCTAGGAGTCACCCTGTCTCCTTTCGACGTGTGCCATTTAAGGATTTGGAAAGTAAAGAGTGTGTTCGGCTTCCCCTACTGATATCCCTGAAAGGCTTCCCTACGTCTGTACCAGGGTACGGCAGAGTAGAAAGGCTGCTTCTCTGCTGCCAGTTGGGAGCATCCATGTGTTCTGTTCAAGTCATGGTCCTCTGGCATATGTACATGCTCGAACTTGGACCAGTCAGACTGCACTTGCAGTCCACAAGGCCTCTCTCTACTTGATGCTGAGCCCTGGTATCAGGTCTTGGCTGCATGCTGGTAGTTGCTTTGGAAGAAGGTGACCATCACCAGAGCTGTACAGGAAAGAAAATACTGCAGAAGAAATCACAGTGTGTCACAGTGTACAACTGTAGGGTATACATTGTTTTTCAAAGCTGCATTTAAAGGCTTTTATGCCAGATCTAAATGTGCAGCACAGAGACCCTGGCTGCCCTGAGCTGAGCTTTCAGGCTGGCTTTGTGTAGCTCTTGGCTTAACCATCGTGTGTCAGAAGGAGCTGCTGGTTCTCCCTTGCTTTGCTGCCCATCACCCAACACTTGAGTGACTGTCTGTGTGCTTGCTGCCCTGTAGAGACAATCATCCTTGCTGCATGAAGTGTCCATGGTCCTCATTGCCAGGTGAAAACAGGAAATTTGCTCAAATGATGCAGGGTTTGATTGTTTTAGATCATGAAAGACCAGCTTCCAGCAGATTCCAAACAAGTAGTATTGTTGGGCTCCTAGTTTGTATCTTCTGAGTAAAGTATATATTCTTAACCAGTGTGTAACATGTGCATGCACAAGAAAGATCTTACTTGTTCTAGAAGATCCATGTTTCCTCTCCTATTCTAATCCAAAGCATCGTGGTCCATTGGCTAATGTTTAGTCCTTGGCAGGCTAGTTCACCCAGATCAATTGTGTGCTGTTGTAAGGTTCTCCCAGCTCTCTGTTGCATGTATAGGAGGAGCTACCATCCTATGAGGCTGTGACCCATTCTGACCATCTGCAGTCTCCACCTCAATCCCCTGCTGATGCTCCAAGTGCTCCAGGCCCACTTCCTTCAGATCTTGGCCTTCTGTCTGCTTGACACATCTTTTTTTTTTTTTTTTTTTTTTTTCTGCATTCCCATAGAACTCAGTCCCTGGCTGCCACAGGTCTGTTGTATTAAGATGTGGCTTCCCTACTTCAGGATTTCCTGAATGCCCTCCTTCCACCCAGCCCCACTGCCTCCTCACATGAGCTCTCCCTATCCTCTTCACCTTGCCTTTTGATATTTCTTTAGCAGTTATTTAAAAAAAAAAAAAACTGTCATTTAACAACTAAATATTTGAACCACACCCCCAAGTGTGGGCTTCATAAGTGGAAGACAGTGATACATCTGTTTTTAAGCATTTTTAAATTCATTGAGTATGTACACATGCCACAGAACATCTGTGGCAGTCAGGCAACAATTTTTAGGAATAGGTTCTTGGCACCAATTGTATTTACCCATTGAACCATCTTGATCACTGCCCTCCAGCATACAGAGCCTAGCACTTGATGGAGGACCCTGAAGATGATAAAGAAATCTCTATGTTTGAGTCAGTGGCCCTGGCTTTACCACCTGTGCAAGCAAAGTGGGTGTGTGAATGTAGGTGCATATCTGAACAACTGGCCATAAGCCCTGGCTCGGTGACTTAACACATCAAAACTGAGTTGACAGTCTTTCTGATGTTTTGTGAGGATCATATGAAACTACCTGCGAAGTTGCTAGAATGTCCTCCCTGTCAATTAAACCAAACATTCCTTGTCAAAGGTGATCCTGGGCTACTGATGATGTCTCTCCTGCAGGTAACTCTGGTTCACAGTTGGTCCAGAGTGGAGATTGCTAAGTGCCTGGGCTAGAGAATGTTTTTAGTTTAAGCTTGCCAACATGCTTGTGTTTTGTGTTGCTGCAGCACAGTGCTTTAGTATCTGTGGGGATTCTGTGTGAAATTCCCACAGAGTCATTACAATACAGTAGAAGTAGTGGTAGCTTCGTTAAACTTTGAGTCTCAGTACTAATCATGCTTTGTGGTCTTTTCCTGTTGTGTTGCTTTGAAACAGAAGTAGTGGTAGCTTCGTTAAACTTTGAGTCTCAGTACTAATCATGCTTTGTGGTCTTTTCCTGTAGTGTTGCCTGGAAACAGAACTGAGAGCAGTCATATTGTGGTTCACGTATTTCCTGTGAAAGGATGCAAAAAGTGACTGATTGTTAAGTATTTACCAAGAAGTGTCTGCTGCTCCACCAGTCACTGGGTGTGTGGGAAGGATGTCTGCAGAGGACTTCATCGAATGACATCTTCAATTTCAGTTGGCTATGTGGGTATGCAGATAAAGATGAAGGATATCGGAGAACAACTGTATACCACGCAAGTGAATGGTGGGCCAAGTTCTTTGACCATGTCCCCCAAACAGCCTAATTGTAACAGAGCAACCCGGCTGGATAGACAGGAAGCACAAACCCTGCTCTACCAAGGCTCAGAGGCAGAGGCTGCCACAATGACCATTGCTACTTGTGTACAGTGCAAAAGTGTTCACAAGATCCCACCTCAAGACTTGAGGAAGGGTCCTGGACAGAGCCAGAAGGAAGGCGCTTATGTCTGCTTCAAATGCAGCCTTCGCACAGTACCTGCCCAGCTGCATTTTGTGAACAGTAACCCTGGTGCTGTTCAGGTCAGAAATGAGACAGAAGCCATCTCTAGTCCTATGAATAATAAATTTAAGGTTAGGAACTTTAAGCCAGGCAAATACTACTGTGATAAGTGTCGGTTCTCCACCAAGGACCCTCTGCAGTACAGAAAACACACAATGCAACATGAGGAGATCAAGTTCATCTGTTCTCACTGCAGCTACATCTCTTACACGAAAGGGGAGTTTCAGAGGCACCTGGTGAAGCACACGGGTGTCTTCCCTTACCGATGTGAGTACTGCGAGTATGGTGCTATCCGAAATGACTACATTGTCAAGCACAGGAGGAGGGTCCATGAGAGGGCTGGTGCCAAACGACCCCTCAAAACTGTTGCCAAGCTGGAGCCCAAGAGAACAACCAACACTTCAAAGCAGAGCATGGAACTGTCGAAGGCCCCTAGTCCCAGGGCTGCCTTCCAAAACAAGTTATCAGACCAGCTATCTCGATTCTCTCTCCACACAAACAAAGACAAGACACACAGTTTGATGTTGTTACCCGAGCTGAAGAAGTACCAAAAAGATGTAGTGTGTATTCCCAACAAAATAGCCCTGTCTGAACCGAGCAAGGTGAGCCTGTGGGGGAATAAGAATGTTGAGGTGGAAGTGCTGTCCCCCTCGAAGGAGCCTGTGCAGCCAGGTATGCCACTGACTGTTGTGGCGCCTTCAGAGCTGGTAGTCCCCACCAACTGCCTAGCCCAGTTGATCGATGTGAAGGTTGTCAATGGCACACAGCAGCTTGTGCTTAAACTGTTTCCGTTAGAAGAAAACTCCCGCCTTGAAACAGGCAGAGATGGAGGCACTTCTGAGTGTACGACTACTGAGAAGGGCTCAGGGGGACAGAAAAAAACGCTTTCTCCAGAAGCAGTGAAGTCACTAACAATGGAAGGGAGCACTGGAGAGTTCGTGGGCATTGACCATCTGCACTCTTTGGTTCAGAAACAGCTTAAAAATGTGAAGTGGGTGAAGTCTTGCAATTTCTTAATGCCCAATTCTGGTGTACACAGTCATCAAGAATCTTTTCTCAGTTCTGATACAATTAAAGACTTGCAGAAAACTCACAGTTTGTGTCCACCTAGAGCCCTTCCTTCTGTTGCCTTAAAAGGTCATTCTCCAGCCTCTGTACAAAACATTGTTTCCTGTGGTCCTGGAACCACAGCAAACCCTTTCTTGAGTAAATCAGCTGTTTCTTTTGCTGAAGATGGACGGGGTACCCGTTGTGACTCCCAGCAGCTCCTTCCCCTTGCCTCATTGCCTACAAAGGTTTCCTTCTCTGGAGAGAAGAGTTTACTGCCTATAGGTGAAAATGACTTAGAAGCTAGGAATAGGATTAGTTGTCCTGAAACAATGGTTTCCGCTGACAGAAAGCTGGAAGACAAACAGATAGAAAACAAGGCAGTGGGAAATACAGGCCAGCTTTCCTCTGCACAGAAAAATGAGTATTTACACATAAACCTTATGGGGGAAGAGAAACTGAGGTCCCAACAGCCTGGGGATCAGCCTGTGCAGCCGAAGAATTCTGAAAAGACCGGTAACACATTTGAGGGTCCTGTCATCTCGTCAGTATTTTCTCTGAGCTCTGGATCTGAAAATGTGCCAGAGGGCATTAAGTGGAATAGTTCAACAACCAAAATAAAGTCCATCGAACTGCTTCGAAGAAAGATAGCACAGTTAATTGAATCTTGTGGCAAGCCTTCCTCTTTGTCTGCCAATGGTGCTCAGCGACGTTCCATAGGTCAGGCACCCAAGCTGACTTCAAAAGCAATTCCCAAGGGTATTCAGGAAATGAGTGTGTCTCTTCCTGGCCCTGGCCCTAGTTCTGGCGCTTCTATAGGTCCTCTCCAAAAACCTCAGAACGAGGGCAGTGTTACTAGCAATGGGCAGCTTGCTCAGCGGCAGATCTGTCCCAAATTTGTCAGTGCTGATGATGGGAACATGGAAAGCAGGGTGACCCGAAAGACTCCTGTTGCTACTCCAGTGCTGATCCCCAAAGGGGCTGTGTTGAGGGTCCTTAACTCTTCTGAAGATGCTCACATCATAGAGGCTACCTATGACACACCGGTCAGCATCCCCTGCAACGAAGCCCAGTTAGCAGAACCGCTTCCATTCTGCCCTGTGACAGGCTCAGGCTCTCAACCTTTGACGTGTAGGCGTGGGCCGGCAGACATGTCCCCAAATCTAGAGACATCTCTTCGGCCCAAATCTAAAAGAGAGGACTCTGTCTGTACTACTACCCCTAAGAAAATCATCCCTGTGTACAGCACACAGCCAGGAAACAATGACTCCAGCAGGCCAGGGAGGCCCATTTCTAGAAACCTAACTATAAGCAAGAATAAAACCAAGCAAGTGATCTCAGCCAAGAAGAAAAACAAGATGCAGGCTGATCCCATTCGCTCTCTCAAAGACCCTTCCTTTTTTCAAGTTGCAAGGCAGCTTCGACTAATAGCTGCCAAACCAGATCAGTTGATTAAATGTCCTCGTCGGAACCAGCCAGTCATCGTGTTAAACCATCCTGATGTGGACTCCCCCGAAGTGACCAATGTGATGAAGGTAATCAACAAGTACAAAGGCAACGTCCTCAAGGTTGTCCTGTCTGAGAGGACTAGGTATCAGCTGGGTGTCCGGCGGCACTACATGCGGCTGACCTACCAGAATTCAGAGGAAGCAAACCACCTGAAGAGGCAGATGATGTTGAAAATGAAACTGAAAAAGGTGCATAAAAACAACTACCAAGTGGTGGGCTCCTTGCCTGACGACCCTGCCCAGTGTGTATTTAAGTGCTGGTTCTGTGGGCGGCTCTATGAAGACCAGGAAGAGTGGATGAGTCACGGCCAGCGCCATTTGATAGAGGCCACCAGAGACTGGGATGTCCTTTCTTCAAAGGGCAAATGAGTAAAAATTGATCTTTGAAGCAAATTGCTTTTCTTCTAGTTTTCCTGGTTTAGGGTCATACCCTAGACCCTCAATTCAGTAGAAGGGGGTTCCTTAGTCCCCAGAGTCACCATAGGAAAGTTTGAGCCCCTTACCTGAGCTCTGTGGCTGGACCAGGAGAGGTAGGAGGCCCCGGAAATTGTTTTGTGTTGAAAGGATATAATGCTCTCTGCAGGTTTTCAGTGTGATCTGAGGCCTTTCTTGCTTGGTGTTTATTTTTCTGAGTAGATACATCTTTCATAATCTGTTTAGAGGGGCAGCTTTATGATTGACATGCTTCTTGGATAAGTGCTGCTGGAGAGTTAAGCCTATGTGCACACATCCTCTTTGATTTTGCTTTGACTCTTCCAGAATATTTGGTACATAAAAGAAATTACATTTCTACTTGTTGGGCCATTTTAAATTTGGTTAGAAAATATGCTGTGCTTGACCCCTTCCACTTCAGGTACTAGCAATGTTCTGCAGAGTCGTGAGCTTTGCTTTCACTGGTCATGTATCAGCAACAGGTGTTAGAAGACAAGACAAAATTTTCAGTATTTAGTTTTTGCTTGCTTATTGGTAATAGTCGGGTAGAGAATATATAATTGGGTTTTTGTTTTGTTAGGTAAAGAAGGAAAGATATATAAAATTAAGTTTATTCTTTGTATTTAATGCTCCACCAAACATAAAGGGCCATTTTTAAATGAGAAGGAGCAGATCCATTAAAACATAAGCCTCAGCAGTGTCATTCCAAGTGGACTTGAAAGCAGGCTGTGAAGGGCCTGCTATAACTGGCTTCTCACCTGGAGATCTGTGCAAAGCCCCAGGGAATGCCACCCAGTATAGGGTCATAGGACTGTACCCCAGGCCAGAGCTGTTCTCCCTTTGCCCCTTTCTGAACAGGTAGGTCCTGGGAAAGAGCACAGTCTCCATGTCTGAGACCCAAAACACTTTTCCTCATGAACACTAGCAATTGCAGGAGAAGCCCTGTGTCTATGGAGGCTTTAAGAACACTACCCATTTTCAGTGCAAGGAACAGGACCACTCCTATTCTAGCCACAGATGCTCTCTTGCTCACCTTTGCTAGGAGGACTTCAATCCACTAAGAGGTGTCAAGACCCACCAGTCCACAAGGCACTGGTGCACATTAGGAGAAAGCCTATCTCCTGTATGGGTAAGGGCTTCCTGGGCAAGGGCTGCTCAAGCAGGGGACCCAGTCACAGGCCACCCCTCTTGAAGCTGTCCATCCTTAGGGGTTTAGTGATGCCATGAGTGGGACTGGGAGGGAGGGCGGTTAGATGTAAAAATGGCATGGTGACTTCTAATCTACTGGGTAATCAGACTTCCTGACTTTGCCTGTTCGTGTGGCAAGCGTATCTTCTCACAGTTGGGACTATACTCCTTTCAAGTTTGTTTTCATTATAAATACTTGGCTTTTCTTAGGTATAATTCAATACCTGATCATTTTGTTAATTGATAATTTTAATTTAAAGTTGCATTTTTATATATGTGTATATATGTGTACACATATAAATATTTTTTACCATATGCAAATTGCAACAGCTAATTTTCTGATTTCCTATTTTATAATGATACATGAGCTTGGAAAATATAAAGCTTTTATATTCTAGAAATAATTTATTTTGAGAGAACATTTTTACAATGGTTTCATCTCATTTTTAGAAAATGAAAGCACAGTAAATAGTGGGACCTGATTCCTATGAGCAAACAGGAATAGACAACCCCTGTGGGTCATTGTATTGTGGCATATAGTCATGCTTGGTGCTCGGTGGCCCTGTAATGCAGAGCATTCTGAGGTCTGATCTGTGGTGCAGACTGGTACCCTCCAGCTCAAATGTTTCATGTGATGTGGCAGGAGGGGCTGTGGGATCCGCTCCTTCTCTACCTCACTGCTGCCCCGTTCCCCCCACTCCCCAATGGCTGGGCCAAGAACTGCCACAGATCGGTGTCAACAGAATAGTTAGACTCTGCAACAGCAGCTATTTTCAAGTATTATCTAAAACAACTAGTATGTGTGTGGAGCTGGAGTTAGTGAGCAGAATATGTAGCGAATCTTTGGGGGATTTTCAGAACTACAATCCTTGTTGAGGAACTCTAAGGGCTCCTGAAGTCCTCAGCACAGGAAAGGAGGAAGTGACTAACTTTCCAAACACAGATCTTTAGATATAGTTTATCATGTAGGTAAGTGTGTGGAAGGATCCCATTTCTAATGGATGGGAGGAAGAAGAACAGAGATGTGGTACTTCCATAGTCTTACCTTGACTTTGAAGGATCTCTAGTCACTACATTTTGTTCATAGTACTTATAAAATTATTTTAAAATTATTTTTTAAGCTAGTTTTTCTTACTTTGGGGGACCGGAATCTATATTTATGATATAGACAAGTAGAATAAAAAAAAATTTAAGCCTCTTGACTCTTAAGTGTCCTCTCAATAGATATATTTTATTCAAAAATTTATCTCTAGCCCAAAACATTTTGTGAGCCCCCATCATGGGACACACACTTTTGAACTAAACTAAACTTGATGTGTTGACCCTCCAGAGTTCCATCCTCCTTTATTTAGAATTTACATACACCACCTGGAAGATGAAGGTAAAGTATTGTTCAGCCTTCAGAATGACTTTTGAATCTGTGAATGTCTTTATGAGCAGAAAGAAAAACTTTGTCTTAACATGTCAAGCATTACAGTTCCTGTGTGAACAGTTGTTTGTATGTCTGCTGCTCTGGTTCTGAAACACGTTTGTATATAGATAGAAAAGTTGACATCAGTTTTGTTTAAATAAAGCAACTTTTAAGATCTTTACTGCTCTCTCATTTCAGATACTAAAACAGGGTGGCTGCAGAGTGCAGAATCTTGTGTGTAGTACTGATGTGTAAGGGTAGTGATACACACAGTACAGGCATTGAATTCTACCAGGGTATTAAGACACCTTGCCAGAAATGCAAACCCTAATGTAAACCCACACAGCCCTTCTGCTTGGCTTTATTGACAAGAAAGTGATTGGAACAGCCATCACAAGTTTCCTACCATACCCAGTGGCCTGTGTGGCCTCTCAGAGGGGGATTTGAGGTGAGACTATTCCTTTCAGCTGTCAGGCAGTTTCCCTGAGGCAGTAGCTGCACTGCTACCATCTTTGGTCCAAATTAGCTCTTGTACCTGATTCCACATATAATTGGGAAGAAGGACCATGATGCTTTAAAAGGATTCCTAATCTCATTGCTCCCTTGTCCCAGGGAGACATTGAGATAAACACTGGCCAAATTGGGGGGGGGGGGTAGGTTACTTCCTTACTTCCACTTAACAATTTCACTAACCAATTCATTACCTGATTGAAATGACCTGTCACCCTCTGGAGGGTTCCTCTATTTAATTGTTCCACAATTCCCGCATCAGACATTCTCAGAGGAAATGGCCTGCCTGGGAAGTTAGATTTAGTTGACCACAGCACTAGCCAATGGAAATATAACACAAGTCACCCTATCAGTAACAAGAAAATGTAATGACAGTTATGATTGCTTTGCCAGCACCTTTAAAATACTGAAGTATTTTTAGTATGCTCAGATTATGTGCTTTTTATAACTTAGGAATCTGGTATGTGTTTCCATATTTCAGTTTTGAAGATAAAATGTCCAACTATAGCTAAAAGCAATTTTACTAAAACACTCAAGTGTTTTAACAGAAAGTTGTTTCACACTGCTTCCATTTAACTGGTCACCATAGCCACATTTCAAAACTGAAACTTCAAGGATCTGGTACCTTCCTGTCATACTCTGACACATTGGCATTTATACTTTTACACACACATGCTAAATCTGTTTTTTTTTTTAAGTTGGTTAAGACATGGGGAAGAGGAAACATCAACATAATATTTAGCAAACCCAAAATTGGACATCTGTATTCCCTTCATCTGCATTTCCCTGATACGAATGAAATGATGTATCTCTGCTAGTATTTATTGGACATTTGAGTTTTCTGTAAATAAACAGATATTTTGGTCATTTCATTAATAAGCTGTTAAACATTTAAAAGAAACTAGGCTCCATGAAAGAAATCCATAAAGAAAAAAATTCTCTTTAGGTTTTCTACCTAAACTGCTCAAACCCTGATGTGATACTGGTGTTTGGCTTAAATTCATGAGAGGTACCCTTTGAACAGTAGGGGCAACTCCTGTCGTGCCCAGTGACCTTGGTGGAAATGTCCCTGGATATTTCACCTGCCTGCATGTCTAACCTCTCAAGAAGGTTGTTTCATTTTGTATTGTATTTTTAAAATATATTCCTACCTTAAAATCAAGAGTCTTTAATGTTAAATTGTTAAAAGTAAACTTCTATACCACAGTGGGTACAAGGAGTAGAATCACACTGCTCGCTCTCAAGGTTTGCAGCAGTCTTTTTCAGAAAGATCAAGCCCAGATTGTTTTCTAATGTGAAATGTATTTGAATTCTAATAGATGGAAATTCTCACAAAAAGGCCATTCCAAGTAGATTTCCATTGCTTCTCTAGCACCCAGTACTGGAGAGTCCAGGATTCAATATGAGCCATCACCTCATGTTTGCAATTCATATTTGTATTGATTTATAATGGATCTGTGTGCTGAGTTCATTTCAAAGTTAAGAACAAGTCAGTTCACACTGACCCAGGTGTATAGCAAGTGAGTAGCCTCTCAGTAGGAGAGCCTCCATAGCATCGTGAAATTGTCATGAGAGTTAGTAGTTCCAGGCTGTTTGATCTTCCCTAAGCATTTGTAAACCAGTTAGTCAAAACACATTGAAATTTTGATTGGAAGAACATTGACACTGGACACATTAAAGGAAGATTGGCATTAACGTGAACATGTCATCCAGGATAATTTGTTTGAAAATATAGTAGGGATTAAATAGTACCAGGCCAATGACATTTAATAATTGACTTCCTTTATTTGGACTACAATAAAAAATGTAGAAAGCAAGGTGAAAGATG